ATGTGTTGTACTCTTTTGTCCTGTCCTTGGTTTTCCCTTTTTACCACATTGGGTTTTGGGTTTTACCAGGAGAGGTTTTAATGAGGCAACATCCAAAGCATGAAATGAACTTTGACCGGATATATCAACCAAGGGGGAGTGTTAAGAAATGAAGATGGTGGTTGGGACATATCCGGGAAATGGACCAGACCACATCAGTTCCACTTCAGTATCCATATCAGGCGGCCAAGCATCAGTCACTATCCTCCCTTGTATTTATCCATATGTTGTAGTTATCCTAATCATTATAGGATTAGGATAATCATCCCCTTTATTGTTGTAATCCTTATCTCCTAAGGAATATGCTTTATTCTCATGTATATATATATGTGTATGTACCACGAGATTAATAAGAGATACACACAAGTTACAATAACTTCTTTATTCCACAACATTATTGAATAAAAATCTCAATATTCCAACCAATGAAAGCTGGGAGAATGACCTATATAAACATCTAAAAATTTGGAAAAACAAAAACAATACGAAAAATCCAAAGTATGAAATGAAAAAAAGAAAGAACTGGTTTGAATTGATTCTAAGCTAACAAAAACAGGGGGTGGAATTGACTATTTCGAAACCTAGGGGCGACGAACGTTAGCAGTGACGTTTTCAGTAACCTACAGAGCAAAATAAAAATAAAAATATCAAATTCTGATTCCTCCTCCTCCGGACTAAACATCATCGTGTTCCTCCGCTTCCTTCTTCGTCGCCGTTCTTCAGATTTTCTTTCACTCTTCTGCTCAAAACTCAAAAGGTTCTCTCCTTAATCATTAAAACTAAAACATACCTGTCTTCTTTATATCTGAACCGGTTTATACTTTAGCTCTTGTTCCCTCTATTGTGATTGTAATATTCTTCGCGTGTGTTATGATTTTCTGAATTTGATATGTAATGAAAAGGTTGATCAGTCCCTTGTTAAAGTCCATCACTTTTGATTTGTCAGAGACTCTGATCTCTAGATTTTTGGTGATATGTGTGTTTTCAGATGTGTTTTTACTTTCTATATGAAGTTAAAAGTTGTTTTGTTTTCTCTTATTTCAGTTGGTCTCTCTCTTTACAATTCATTCACCAACACCAAACAGAGCCGCGTAAAGAGAGAGTGATAAGAGGATCTCAAGAACTTGTCTTGTTTTTTTTTTTTTTTGTATCAATGCCGTATTTTATTCAGAGGCTTTTCAATACTTGCAAGTCATCTCTCTCACCTAACGGACCTGTCTCTGAGGAAGCCTTAGACAAGGTTCGCAACGTGTTGGGTAGGACTACGTCTTTTTAATGTTTCTTTTGTCTCCATCATCTTTACTTAGGCACTGCTATTTTGGGCCTTTTACACTCTCTGATGTCGTTAGACTATATGCTATTTCTTTTTTGTTTTTTTTCAGAGAAAATCAAGCCGTCTGATGTTGGTCTCGAACAGGAAGCTCAGTTAGTGCGTAACTGGTCTGGTCCTGGGAACGAGCGTAATGGAAACCATAATTCTCTACCAGCAATAAAGTACCTTCATTTACATGAGTGTGACAGCTTCTCGGTGAGTAAACTTTCTTTCAGATTTGCTGTTAGGTTTCACCTTTTTGAGTGTGCCTTATTCAATGTGTGGTCACACAAGTGCATTATTAGTGGCTAAGTTAGCTATGAAATTTCGAGAAAAAGTCATTTGCATAGAAAAATCTTGTGTAGGCTTCCCATTTTATAACCAGAACTTCTAGTGATGATTAGGGTTTTGAATTATAAATCGCCAAAACACTGAAGAAACTTGCTATTTACAGCTGCCATTTGGTATGGTTTCTTGCTTTTCTTGTCTGCTTATGCTTTGATCATTATTTTTTCAGATTGGAATTTTCTGCATGCCACCTTCGTCAATCATACCACTTCACAACCATCCAGGCATGACAGTGCTAAGTAAGCTCGTTTACGGTTCAATGCACGTGAAGTCATATGATTGGGTTGAGCCTGATTCATCAGAGCTTGACGATCCATTACAAGGTAAACAATAGTTGAGTGACATGTAAAACCATAATTTTAATAAACTTTCTCTGAGTAATCTTTTATTTCCCATTTATTCATAGCAAGACCTGCAAAGCTGGTGAAGGATACTGATATGACAGCTCCTTGCCCAACAACCACACTATATCCAACAACAGGCGGCAACATCCATTGTTTCAAAGCCATTACTCATTGTGCAATCTTTGATATTTTATCTCCTCCATACTCGTCTACTCATGGAAGACATTGTGACTACTTCCGGAAATCCCCATTACAGGACTTGCCTAGTAAGATAACACAAAATTTAACTAAGACCTTTAAAAAATCTACTATGTTTCTTAGTGTTACTACTAACACATTCACTAGATCCATAGCTTAACATAGTTGGTTTAGGATTATCATTCTGTTACTATGGAAATGTTGTTGTTGATGATGATATTATGTGAAACCAGGTGAGCTTGAAGTGACGAATGGAGAAGTGATCTCAAATGTGACATGGCTTGAGCAGTATCAACCTCCAGATAACTTTGTGATATTGAGAGTTCCTTACAGAGGCCCTGTGATTAGAAAATGAGATTATAAAAATGTCTTTTAAGCAAACTAGTCAAGAGCAGAAAGAGGAAGAGGAGCTTATCATCAGGAGAATAAAATTGGTAAACGATTCAGAAAAGCTTGCTGCTTTATGGTAAAGAAGGTTCTTACATACATGTGAGCTTCAGCCTACTTCACTATATTATAATGTTTTACTATTTACACACATCTTTACAATTACTCCACTATAGTTTAATATTGATAATTTTTGTCTTATATAAACACAATTGCTCACAAACAATGTATTTAGCTTCATTAAAAAAAATTCATTGCTCATTTAACTTTGGTCATTCCTCTGCGTTAAAACATAGCAAACTCTTAGTTATATAGTTCCATCTTATGGCTTACTGTGTCTAGTAGATAGATGGTTTAGAAGGTTAACAGTGTGTGAACCTTTTACATAGAAAATATGATCTTGTTACTATGTTGTTACATTACTAACACTATCATTTGATTGATTGCTATAATTCAAAAATAAACAGTTGTTGTTTATAACAAAATAGGATAAATAAGAAATAGTAACATAAGTATGTTTCCTCCACCAAACCACATTCACATCTGTTAGATGTTTCAGAGAGGAAGCAGTATACAAAAACCAAAATGTAATCCGCACTAAGATAAAACATAAAATTACTTAACTGAAAAAGATGCAAAATACTTAAAGATTTAGTCCTATGATCATCTTCCATTGCCTTAATTTCTAACCACACTCATCACCATCCCCTTCGGTTTCAAACGACCACCAGACTCTTTTTTTCTATGCATTGTCTTCTTCTTCGGATTAAACACATTGTTAAGCGTCATCTCTTTTCGCTTTCCCTTGGCAACTTTCTTCTTCGGTTTCTCAGCCTCAGCAACCTCACTTTCCTCCTTCTTCCTCTTGTTGTTCTTCTTCGGTTTCTCAGCCTCAGCAACCTCACTTACCTCCTTCTTCCTCTTGTTATTCTTCTTCTTCTTCTCCTCCTTATCAACACTAACCTCAACATCACCAATCTCATCATCATCAAGCACTTCAGAAACAAAACTATCCATACACCTAACCTCCTGAATCCTACCCTTCTTCTTCTTCTTCCCCTTCACAACATCACTCTTCCTCTCTTCCTTAACACCACTCCTCTCCTCGGAATCATCAATCTTTATCTTCAATTCAGGCACACTCTGATAAATCGGCAACGAAACACTCTCCGACAGCTTCAAATGCAAAGACCGAACATACTTCCACTTACTAGGCAAAATCTCAACGACGTCGTTTAACGTCCCCATCACATTCTCAATAACCTCATCCCTCTCCATAGACAACTTCCCAATTTTCACAACACTACAAGTCCCTGTCCTGATAAAAAACATAGCAGACCCCAAACCCTTCTCAATCTGCTGTTTCCAATTCTTATGCTTCAAATCCACAGGCAAAGGAATCTTCTTTTGCACGAAAAACTTCTTCCCGATCAACCTCGGAAGCAGAGGAATCACTCTCCTGTCCGCGAAAAACATCTCATACGAATCAAAAAGCTTCCTTTTCGCCTCGAAGGCCTTGTAATCCTTCTTGAGCTTCGAGAGCTTAAGCACCTTCGTAATCGGAATATTCTCAGATTCGATTTTCGCAACGGCGTCTTCTTTCGTTAACCCGCTTTTGGGTCTGTCGTCGATGATGAGGCAAAGCTCGGGGGACTCTTTCTCCGTGTTGATTAGCGGGTGAGGTAAGCGGATACGGTGAGCGTTGGTTCGGGTCGTTTGTGGGATCTTGTTTAAAGTGACGATTAGGTAGACGAACTCGTCTTGGTCGAGGAGCTGAGGCTTGTCTGTTTTTGATTTCTCGGTTTTCAATTTGAGGAGGGAGGTGATTGCGTCGTACACGGTTTTGGGGCTCACTCTTGTGGATTGCGGAGGTTGATTGGGTTGATTTTCGGCGGTGGCGGTGGACATTGTGAGAGGTTTTTGGGGGGGGGATGAAAGGGGGATTAGGGTTTTAAGGAGGAAATGAGAAACAGAGGATGTGGTTTTGGGATTTTAAATACTTGACCTTATGATGCGTGGGAGTTAATGGGCCTAATTTATTTTGGGCCTTTATTTTTTATCTTTGACAGTGAGGCGGTGGTAATTGAGAGGTTAGGATTTAAACACTTCCGTGAGAATTAATGAGCCTAATTTCTTTTAGGCCTTAATTTTATTTCTTTAAAAAGTATGGGCTGATGACCTTTTAGGTGTATTTTATGACAAACTAATAATGGGATTTGATTCGAAATTGAAGAATATCATATTAGTTTCATACTTTCTGTTGACAAAAAAGGTCTTACTAGTTTCTGTTTTTTTAACTATATGAATGAATATTTCATCAACGCTAATAGATTATACGTCCAATATAATTTTGTGGTTTAGTGTTATTGTAACGTTTAATAGTTAGGAATTGTGTGAAGAGATGTTGTGAGTAGTAGTTTGCAATCATTTTTCTTTCTTTTCCAAAATATAACCAAAAGTCCTTACTACTTACAAATTTACTAGGTTAATTAATAAAGTCCACTAATAAATGAATATCTCAATTTTATTACTAGTAAAAAGTATGTGATTATGTGCTGTGTCATAAAGCAAAATATTTATGTATTAAATTTTGGATTATTTGTGTATATAACTAAAACGATTTTTTTTAAGAAAAAAGAGAGAGAGACGATATTTAAGAAAATTGGATTTTTTTTTTTGTGTGGGTAAGGAGTGTATTTCTGTTATTTTTTTCACAGCTTATAAATTTCTGTACTATTAACTTAAATAAAATGAAAGCTATTGTCAAAAAGAAAAAAAATAAAGGCAAACTTTTCAGAAACTGCATAACCAATACAACCAATCAATAAAAAGAGAAACGACGGTGGTGATTCACGAGGGATGACGTGTGACGCCACCTGTCTATCAGAGAGAGGCGCATCTAACTTTTAAACACGTGACTCATCAACTCGCACGTGATCTCGGGCATCGTCGTCACTTTCGTTCAGTCGTCTCCCCTCTTCCTCTTCTCCTTTCCCTCCCTCCTCGCCTTTGCCTTCTTCTTCATCACTTTCCTAAAATCGCCATCACTCTTTTCTCTGCTCCCCCCAAACCAAAATCAAATCACACTGATTTTCATACATAACCGCGTAGCTCTTTTTGATTGTCGTTGATCGGGTGATTGATTTTCCTACTCTGCATCTGCCTTAGAACTGCTATGTAGAGTTTGATTTCGAATGTTACATCGTTACAGAGAAGTTCGATCGGGAATTGAATGTGTGGATCTGATTGCGGTGATTTTTTTTACAAAAACCCTTTGTTTGAACTTTTTTTTCTCCTTACTCGCATCTACTGGTCTTAGCTGTGTATTGAATCGATCTCATAGAAGGTTTCTTAGATGATCTTTGTTTTATTAGTATCGGTTTAAAGTTTTGGTGCTGTGCGTTACTTTTTTGGTGTAGATCGAACCGGATCGTTACTAATGGATAGTCGTAGTTAGAGGATTTTGATTGGGATCTAAGTTAGATTGCTCTATTGTCTATTCAATTATGATCGTTTCGAAATTCTAGCGTTGACCTAAGAGTGAGATTATTTGATTTCCTTGTCTCTTGAATTCGTATTTTTTAATGCATACAGTGAGATAGTTTTAGTTTTATAGGTCTTTCTTTGAATTTAGGCTCCGAATGGTAATGTGCGGGATAACTGCAGAGATGCGGTTCAAATAATAACAAAAACATATAGATACATAGTTATATGTAGAGATTTTTGTTACTGGACGGGGCGGGCGGTCACCATTCAGAGCCTTAATCAGAATAGTGTGCATTTCACTAGTGAATTTGTGATGAGGTTTTCTTATATACTATTTTTCGTTTCTGTGTACAGGTTTGTTGATGCTTAATGTATTGGTGTGTAACTGATCCATTTATGGATAAGTAGGAGCTGAATTTAGACGTCAAGGAGAAATAGGCAATGGGAGAGAGACGGGATGATGCTGGACCATCAGAGCAAGGACCTTCGAATCAAACCTGGTGGCCTTCTGAGTTTGTTGAGAAATTTGATTCTGTTCATATGGGATCGCAAGAGGAGACATCTAGTGCTAAAGATTCACCACCTAGAAGTCTTGGTCAAGATGGGATGCCATCTAATACTGCTTCTAATATTCTCTGGAGCACTGGTTCTCTTTCTGAGCCCATCCCAAATGGCTTCTACTCCGTGATCCCGGTAAGCTTATTAGCTCTGTTCTGTAACGTTTTACTTAGATTTATTCAAACTTGATTAACCGGTCGTACCTGTCGATAATCCATACATCGAAATCTAGAATCTTTCTTTCTTTTAACTAATGTTATTTTTTTGAAATTTGTACAGGATAATAAATTGAAGCAACTATTTAATAGCATTCCTACATTGGAAGATCTTCATGCTCTAGGCGAAGAAGGTCTGAAGGCTGATGTGATTCTTGTTGATTTTCATAAAGATAAGAAGCTTTTCAGGCAAAAACAGTTGATTACTAAACTTGTCAGTGGATTGAACTCAAAACCAGCTGCTGTTATCAAGAAGATTGCTGGACTGGTAAGAGTGGTTGAGTTACTTTGTTTTAATGTCAGTTTATCTTAGTGTATTTCTTGATGCATTGCATGCTTTATCATCTCAGTTGCTTATGGACCCAGGGGCGGATGCAGGAACATAATTAGCGTAGGGCACATTATTTTTTCATTATGTTTAAGTTTAGAGTTGGAGGCACTTCATAGACTATAATAATTTCTTAGCTTCTTTGCATTTTAAGTTGTGAAACTAGCAATAAGTTTCTGTTGCGTTTGAAGATAAACTTCCCCAGACTTTTAGTGTCTTGCTTTAAATCTTTCTCACTTGTGAATTTTGCTTTATGAGAAAAAGTAATAAATTAGGAACTGCGTATCTTTGTTTGCTTGCCCTTTTCTTCTGCATCCCATTTATTTGGCTTTACAAGCAATATCAAGTTTATCGATGCAGTACGAGCAAGAATTTCAGAAATCTTGGTTACTTCTTTTAGTTATCATAATGCCTTTGTTCAAATTGTCTGGCAGGTGGCAGATGTTTATAAGCAATCTACTCTACATAGCCCGGCAAAAGCTACCCAATCTTTTGAAAACTGTGGTATTCAACTGCTTGGACAGATCAAGAATGGTTCTTGTCGGCCACGAGCTATCTTATTCAAAGTTTTAGCTGATACGGTTGGTCTTCAAAGCAAACTTGTAGTGGTAAGTATTATAACATGATCTGTGATGTTGAGTATCACTTCATTTTGCATTGATTAGTTTTGATAAAGGGTCATTCTTGAGAAAAAATATGATCATTGCTATAATTTCGAATATTCTGACCAGTTTTAATCTTTGCTATGCTCTTTGGTTTATTTATTTGATTAGGGTTTGTCAAGTGATGGAGCTGCTGAGAGTGTAGACTCATACAGTCATATTTCTGTTACTGTTCTTCTTAATTCTGTGGAAATGCTAGTTGATCTAATGCGGTTTCCTGGTCAGCTTATTCCTCTATCAACCAAGGCAATATTTATGAGTCATATCTCAGCGGCAGGGGAAAGTGATTCTGCCGAGAACGACTCTTGCGATTCACCTATGGAGCCAAACAGTCCCATGTTTGGTTATTCAGATCATGAAAAGTAAGTAGTAATTGGAACTTTAAACTGTTAAAGCTAACTGCAAGAACTTGCAACTAGTTTTTAAATGTATCGCGTACCATAATTTACTCAACCTTTTTTCAATACTCAGGGTTTTGGTGTGCAGAGTTTCTAATTATTGTTGTTGTACAGTGCAGAAAAAGATGAAAACCTTATGTTTCATAGGAAACTGGAAGGGTCTCCAATTATGTCTGGTCCACCATCAAGGAATACGCTGTTACGATCTGCCTCCACGCTGGAAAGAAAATTAAGGTGATAAAGCCTTTGTTGTTATTGTGTTTTTGTGTTATGAACCAACCCAGGTTTAAAGATGTCTTATGTTTAATTTAAACTGAGGAATGGAATAGATGATAATGCATTAATAGTTATATATCCTATTCTCTAGTTTATCACCGAGCGAGTCAAACATTGCGAATGAGTTTTGGCGGCAGAACCGGAGAAAGGTCATTGCTGATCAGAGGACTGCTAGTTCCAGGTTACTCTCATCCCAGTTTGATGTTTGGATTTTCTCATATTCAAAATTCCATATTTCTTTATTTTCTTAGATGCTTTATTTTGTATCACCTGCAGTCCCGAGCATCTTTCCTTCCGAACACGTACAAAGTCCATGCTGAGTGGCGACAAGAACTTGGCACAAGATGTCACCGGCAATGTTGCCACATCAAGGTTGGTTTTTTTTACCTTGCTTATGATTTGACCTTTCAATTTTTAAAACATACAATTATTGCTGCAAGAGGCATGGTATATGTTAGTCTTTTTGAGTGCTTACGGAGTTCTTTTGCCTAGTTTCTGATTTAATAAAATGTAGCGCCAGAGAACTTAGTTCCTGTGCCTTAAGTTTGTTAAATATTCTTATGTATTCATGTGCAGCTCTAAATCTGTTGGAGGGGCGAAATTGGAAACAAAGAGAATAAGGAGGAGAAGCATTAGTATAACTCCTGAGATTGGTGATGATATCGTCAGGTGTGTAGTTTATTATGGCTCAGTGCCTTCATTTACATTGCAGGGCCAGCATGATAGGTTGCAATAAACTATCATGATAGTTAGTGATTTCTTTCAATATATCCAAAGCTATCATTAATACAATATTATAGGTTGCAGTTATTCAGTTTCACTTGATCTTTTCTTTCTCAATTGTTTATTTCATATATGTTACACTTCCGACCAAATTAGTCGTAACAATCTTATGGAAAATATTAGAAGAATGCAAAGAGAGAGAATTCTCCTTTTAGTTGGGATCCGTGCCAGTGGGAATCTGTAAAACATTCCATATAAGCTGTAGCAATTTTCAATGATCGTGCTATCAGTGCATTTACATTAGGACGTATACAACATTAACTGTCTTAAACAGGAGCTCCCCTGTTTGCGTAATTTTATTGATAACTTTTGTTGTGTAAAAGTTACTTGCTAATCTTTTTCAGGGCAGTACGAGCGATGAATGAAGCATTGAAGCAGAATCGCCTCTCAAAAGAGCAATGTGATGATAGTTCATCTCCTAGCTCTCCAAATGACAGAGCCGAGGGCCCTCATCTCCAGAAAATTGTATGTAACTATCTGTATAAAATAAAGCTTATTGATACATCCATCACTGAATTTCACGATAGGAAGCTTGATCTCCTAGAAAATGCTGTGTTTAATCTATAGGAAATCATAATAAGGCATCCATTTATTTGTCTTAGCAACACATAATAATCAGTTACAAGTAAATGTTTGTTTGATATTGCAGCATGCTTAAAATTGCAATTCTTGGAAAATTTACTCTATTTGGATAATGACTTGTGAATTTTTGTGGCTTAACTAGACATTTCTGCTTTTAGGTCTCTGGTTTCCATCTGGATGCCCATGACCAAGTGTCTGGAGGCAGGTCGACTCTTTCCAGGGAACCACTGGATCCACAGAAGGCAATCTCACTGCCTACATCTCCTCAAAACTACCGAGGCCAATCCTATGAACGGAGTGGATCATCAAATCGTAATATAAGCCATATTTGGGATAAAGTATTGGGATCTCCCATGTTCCAGAACAAACCATTGCTACCATATGAAGAATGGAACATAGACTTCTCTGAACTCACAGTTGGGATTCGTGTTGGAATTGGTAAATTTGTAGCTCAATGTTTTTGACTATGCGTTCTTATAATTTTGTTGGCCATATATTTCCTTCAAGAAAATTGACAATGGCTTTCATCTTGTGTTTCTTTATTATCCTGCACTTAGTTTACTTTTGTATAAGCAACGTAACTAAACTTATGTTTTTATTCTTTCTTCCAGGATTTTTCGGAGAAGTCTTCCGTGGAGTTTGGAATGGAACAGACGTTGCTATCAAAGTGTTTCTTGAGCAAGACCTTACAGCCGAGAACATGGAAGATTTCTGCAATGAGATATCGATTCTTAGGTATGTCTCTAGACTTTGTCTTTATTCAAATGTAACAATAACTTCTGGACTAATATATTTCCTGCCTTCTCTTTATGTATCCATATAACTACCAGCCGACTTAGACATCCCAACGGTACTCATCTTTTTCTATAAATTTTCGTCTGTAAGATTCTTAATATCAGTTTTCTTTAACTTGGGAATTTGACTTCTTGTAGTTATACTGTTCCTTGGAGCATGCACAAGGCCTCCACGATTATCGCTGATCACTGAGTACATGGAAATGGGATCTTTGTATAATTTGCTGCATTTGAGTGGACAAAAGAAGAAGTTAAGCTGGCGGAGGAAGCTAAAGATGCTGCGTGACATTTGCCGGTAAATTCCACTCTTCCGGTCCAATTTTTTTATGCTTTTTCCCCAAATTGATATACAGTTTTTTTATTACGAAGGGGGTTGATGTGCATACATCGGATGGGGATAGTACACCGTGATATAAAAAGCGCAAACTGTCTTTTGAGCAGCAAATTGACTGTCAAGATCTGCGATTTTGGGCTATCGAGGATAATGACAGGCACGACAATGAGAGATGCAGTCTCTGCAGGAACTCCAGAGTGGATGGCTCCAGAACTTATCCGCAATGAGCCCTTCTCTGAAAAGTGCGATATCTTCAGCTTAGGTGTAATCATGTGGGAACTCTGCACTTTAACCAGACCTTGGGAAGGAGTACCACCTGAACGGGTAACATGATAACTTACTAAGAAGAAGACTCCACCATAGTGACATGTACATATATAACCAGGTTTTGTGTATTTCTCAGGTTGTTTACGCTATTGCTTATGAGGGAGCTCGTCTTGAGATTCCTGAAGGGCCATTGGGAAAGCTTATTGCAGGTTTTGTGACCTATCAAAATGTTGTTTTTAGTTTTGTTTTAATTTTGTTACTTAGTCTATGGGTTTGTTTGCAGATTGTTGGACAGAACCGGAACAAAGACCGACCTGCAATGAGATACTTTCTCGTTTGATGGACTGCGAGTACTCGCTTTGCTAACTTCTCTTCAAAACTTTTTTTTTTCCTTTCTGTGAATAGAAACTTTGCAGCAAGAAGAGGTTTTCGTTTTTCTTCTTTGAGTTTGTACAAAAAGAACTTTTGGCGCTTAGCTTTGTGGAACTCTTTTCTGTTTTGTCATTGCACATTAGTGAAATCAAAAACCTTTTGAAGAAAAAAAGAAACAAAAGTATACTTTTTTAGGTTGCAGGTTTCTCACTAAATGATCAACGAACTTTCTGTTGTTTTTAGTAATTCATAGTCGTAAATGGACCACTTGAAGCTGGCTGTGATTTATTATATAACTGAGGCTAGTTAAGAATGGATGTAAAGCCCCATAAGGGTAGTACCCTTTGCATTGATTTAATATAGCAATGCATCAATGTTGTAGACTTGTAGCAAAGATGATACAGTTTGAAAAAATTTACTTGACATGACTAGTATGGCATCTATCTATTTTATTAAAATTAAAATATAAAACAATATCTATTTTTAAATAGTTTTTTACATATTTTTTTCTTTTTAAATTAATTTTAACTAGCTTATTTATTATTTTTCAAATAATTATTATAAATATTTCAGTTATTATCTTTTACAAATAACCTGACAGCATTTATTACAAAATACAAAACAATAATTACCTATTTTTAAGTGTTTTGTCTTTTACATTTTTTTCTAACTATTTCATTAATTTTCTGGAACATAATAACTCGATAGAATTTATTTTACATGTTAAACATATCAATTCGACATGTTTGAGTGAAATTGTTCTGTTCAGAACAAAAATTTAAAATGATAAAAAATTATTATTTTTTATCTATTTTCAGAATCAATTAAATACGAGTATTATGATATATGTTCGGATAAATATCTTATTTCAAATATCAGGTTTTTTGAATTTTAAATTAGATTATATTCATGTATTAATAGGAACCCAAAAATATTCAAATAACTAATATACAATTAATTATGTGATAACACATCTAATAATATTGATTATTAAAAATAAATATTAATGTATAAAAAGAAAAAAAAAAGAAAAAAATTAATATTTACATGGACACGATCAAATTATAGTTGTATGTTATTAAAAAAGAACTAAAACAATACATCCAACTAATCATATATGATGAACTAATAACTGCGATTTTTATCTTCAGTTTCAAAAAAATTAACCATGGGGCAAAATATCCATTTTACCTACTATGTTAGAGTATGTAATTACCAATTCATTTCTCACCCTTATCATAAGTACCATATAATATAATTTAATTAGGTAAAATTCATAAAATATTAACGAAAACCAGGTATAAAAATGGCCAAAACTATTGTGGAGAAAATACATAAGAATCAATCAAGGTTAGCTAAATTAAATCTATGGGTTATTACAACTCAGGGGCGGAGGCACTTAAGAACATGTGGGTCAAGTGATCCCAATATAATTGGGGATAAAATTTTTGTAATGTATTTTTTCTAAAATCACTATAATATTTAATTAAAATTTGGTATTTGACAATATGCCCCATTAATTTGTAAGAAAAAATATTTTTGTTATCAAAATATATATTTTATAGATATTATGATCCCAGTCAAAAATATTTTTGTTTATAACCAATTTAATTGTAAACTCAAGGGATAAATTTCAGCGGATATAAAATTTAAAAATTTACAAAGTAATTAGTTTAACCAAAATTCACAAAATAAATAAATAAATAAACGTGTCAATTAGTGTCATACATTAAAAATCTACTAAAAGAACTAAACATAATCAAATGTGACTAGAAATGTATCAAACCTAGACACCTACATGTTTTTTTTTGTCAACAGACACCTACATGTTATTTCCATAAAATCGAGTCACCAAAATTTTTAACAAGTTTTTTATTTTTATTTTATTTATTATTATTTTTAATTTTATTTTATTACTACAAATTAGCAATATAATTATTTATATATAAATAGCTGAGGCTGGGCTCGTTCAGCTGACTCACGGCTCACTACATGCACACAAAGCAAAGAAAAACACACAGCTTTGTTTTTTAAACTCCTCCGTCCTCCTTATTTCCGTTACCGTCACCGTCCACCTCTGTTACTCCCATCCTCACCGTTCATCTCCCTCCCGATCCACCTCCCCGCCGTTAACCGTTATGAAGCACTCCGTCAACGGCTCCTTCTCCCCGAGATCCTCCCGTCCTTCCCCGCCGTCTCTTCCCCGAGAAGACTGCTGGAGCGAGGAAGCGACGTTCACGCTAATCCAAGCCTGGGGCTCTCTCTACCTCAGCCTCAGCCGCGGCAACCTCCGTCAGAATCACTGGCGCGAGGTCGCTAACGCCGTCAACGACCGTCACTTCAACGCCGGCCGTAACGTCTCCGCCGCGAAATCTCAGCCGTACCGCACCGACGTCCAGTGTAAAAACCGGATCGACACGTTGAAGAAGAAGTACAAAGTCGAGAAAGCTAGGTCTTCCGGCGGCGGCGGCGGCTCCGGCGGCGGTGATGGTGGCTCCGGCGGTGGTGGCGGTGGCGGCTACGTCAGCACGTGGCCGTTCTTCACCGATCTCGATGACCTTCTCGGAGAAACCTTCCCTCCGGCGACTACTCCGTCGCTGCCGATGACGGTTGTTCCGGTTCCGGTGGCTCCACGATCGGCGATCCCGCGACGTCCGGCGCCGGCGCCGGCGATTATGAGAATCGGAGGGGAGAATATGCTCGGATGTCGCGGGAATCTGAACGCGTTCGCGGCGGCTGCGGCGGCCGCCGCGTACGAGGATGATTCGGATGGGTCAAGGTGGAGATGGAGCGGAGGAGGGAAGAGGAAGCGTGAAGGTGAAGGTTACTGGGAAGTAGCGGAAGCGATAGAGAGGCTTGGGGAGATATACGAGAGGGTGGAGGAGAGGAAGAGGAAGGAGATGTTGGAGTTGGAGAAGCAGAGGATGAGGTTCGCTAAGGAGCTGGAGTGTCATAGGATGCAGCTGTTCACGGAGATGCGTCTTCGTCTTCGTAAGCTCAGGCGTTCCAGAGTTCCGACATCTTCCGGTGAGACATGAAGCGTTTATCTCAGGCATGGTTGCAATTCCTATAGCATGATTGGTGATTTAGTCCTAGTGAATCCAATAGGTATTATTCAAGAACTGGAATGATCCAGTTTCCGACAGTTAGACTTGGAACAGAGTATTGGTTCTGTCTTTCTGTTTTGTTGAAAATGTTTACTTCTGCTTCTTATTACCAACTGACATGAGTATTAGTTGAGTAGCTCGTGAGGTAGAAAGGATGAATCTGTTTCTCTGTTTACTGCTATTGAGTGATGTATGTAGTGGCAGAAGCATTGTTCTCTCAATTGCTATTCTATTTAAGTGTATGATGGCCAAGAAGTTTAGATACTAAATGCTTCGGAAGTTAGGAACTAATGGTATCCATGCGACTATAAACTCTCAACTGTGACCAACTTTGGTTTAGTGATCAACAAATCTTGTTTGTAATCTGGCCATTTCATTACACACTATAGACCCTTCGATGAATAACTCTTTACATTGTTTAACCCAGTAGAACTAGCACCTATTGATGCATCAATTTTTATACACCATTTGTAAATAATAAGTGAAACTTGTCTGTCTATGCAGCTCTTGAGTATGGGATGATGGGTTTGCCAAGTTACTTGTAAGGGTAGGCTCCTTTTATTTCTTGCCTTCACCTTTGACAACTCTCTTCTCTCACAACCAGCATCAATTGGTCTTGTCTAAAGAGCCTTATGTAAATCCTTGGTGTTTTTGCTTTCAGTTCTTGGTACGTTTTTGGTTTTGTGCTTGTGATTATTATACATGAGTGATGAAGTTTGTGATTGTAGCCATTGATGAACAAAGAAGAAGCCATCCTGTATAAATTATAAGATTTTTGTATCTTTTCAAAGCACAAGAAAATGGGTTTTCGATTGTTTAAAAAAGCCCATGAATATTGGGCCTAAATAAGTTATAAGCCCACCTCCATAAGATCAACATAGATTAAAACAATTAGGTCAAAGTCTCACTTGTGACTTCCTATATTTTATTCGTCCGACACATTTGCCTTTCACTACACAGCAGACAAAACCAAATACGATGACTGCTCCCTTCTTCCCGACCGAAGTCACCACCGACATCTTCTCCAGACTCCCCGCGAGATCCGCCGTCAAGTGTCGCACTCTCTCAAAACAATGGTCCACCATCCTCACATCTCCAGACTTCGCCTCACTCTTCCTAACTCACTCCACAACCCGTCCACGTCTCCTCTTCGCCGTCGAACGAAACGGTCTCTGGACCTTCTTCACCACTCCTCAGCCTCAACCTCACTCTCCTCTCTCTCCCGTAGTAACCGCCGAGCTTCACAAAACGGTCAACGGAGACGGCTACATCTGCAGCTACGCCTCCGGTTTATTCCTCTTCCCCGACGTGTTGATTTCGAAGCAAAGTCGCCACTCAAACCCTCTGGTTGGCAGCCCGATCACCGGAAAGTACGTGGCTTTACCGTACTTGAGCATCTACAAAAAGTCGCGAATTTTTCTAGGGTTTGACCCTGTCGGAAAACAGTTTAAGGTTTTGTCGGAAGTTTATCCGTTTAGTAATGAAAGGGATCATCATCGGGTCCTGTCTTTAGTAGAAGGAGAGTTGAGTTGGAGGGTGAAGAATGGTCCACAGTACTCCCATTGTTTGTCTGAAACGATTCAGATCGGTGGTGTTTTGTATTACTTAGCTGAGAACGTTAGTGACTTGCCACGTGTCGTTGTTTGCTTTGACGTTAGTTCTGAGGAGTTTGAGGTTATTGAAGCTGATTGTTTCTCTGGTGAAGAGGCTGTGAAGTTGATTAACTACAAGGGGAGAGTAGCTGGTGTTAACTGGAAGTATGTTAAGGTTGATGATGGGAAGATTGTTCTTGAGCTCTCTGTGTGGGTTCTTGAGGAGGCGAAAGAGTGGGTGAAGTCTGTTTATGTTTTGTCTGAGGAGAAGATTGTTCGTCGTTGTAATTTCTCTGTTGGTGGGATGACTAGTGGAGGTGAGATTGTTTTGGCTATGGACTACACTGCGAAGCCTTACTACGTCTTCTTCTTTGATCCGGAGAAGAACACTCTCAGGAGCGTTGAAGTGAAAGGGTTTGGAGATAGGCTTGAAGCGATGAGGAGTCGTGGCAGGGTTCATGTCTTTGTTGATTATGTTGAGGATCTAAGTGTTCACGATGGAAAGCAGCTCATGTATGCTCCGCCAAAGCCCAAAACTGCAGAAGAAATTGAGTGAAAGTACACTCCAGAATCCATATTATGTAAGGAGATAGTTTGATTTGTGATGTTGATTCAAGCTTATCTTGTCGCTCACTTAACCTTTTTATGCTAGAATTAGAATTTCTGATGTGATCTAACGTTTAGTTAGGACATCTCTACTGGAAATAATATTAACAGACTTGTATGATCAAAATTGAGATAATTGAGACTTTGTTTATATAGACACCTTATGGAGATGAAATGTCATATCCTCAACTTCGATTTCAATGTCGCTAGGTAATCCAGTCTTACAGAACCTTCATCAACAAGAAAACAAATGATAAATTTTCTGCATTTCAAGAAACATTATCGTAATTAACTAAAACAGTGTTTGCTCTCATCACCATGCTTGACCCTTGGAGGTAGACTTCTCTGATGACGCCATTGAATAGTTATTACTGATTAGTTCTAGTGAATCCAATAGGTATTATTCAAGAACTGGAAGGATCCAGTTTCCGACATTTAAGACTTGGAACAGAGTATTGGTTCTGTCTTCTGTTTTGTTGAAAATGGTACTTCTGTTTCTTATTATTATCAACTGACATGAGTATTAGTTTGGTAGCTTTCCATGATCGTGAAAGCTGAATCTGATTCTCTGTTTACTGCTGTAGTTTTTAAGCATTGAGTGATGTACGTAGTTGCAGGAACATTCTTTTCTCAGTTGCTATTTCAAATGTTCATGGGGTTTTGTTCATTGTGACTATAAACTCTCAATAGTGACTAACTTTGGTTTAGTGATCAACAGTCTTGCTTGTAATTGCCTAATTGGGCCATGTCATTACACACTAAACCCTTTTCACAACTTGTTAATCTCACTTGGACCTGTTAATATGATGAATAACTCTTCGCATTACATTGTTTAACCCAGTAGAACTAGCACCATTGATGTATCATTTTTTATACACCACTTGTAAGTAATAGCTGAAACTTGTCTGTCTATGCAGCTCTTGAGTATGGGATGATGGATTTTTTTTTGCTAACCGAGTATCCTGACTCCACCGAAGTGGTTCAGAATAGAGACCGAAGCGATTAAGGACCAGTAAGCTGATCACCATGTGGATCGCCGTATAACGGTCTTCGGTCTCAGACGCTGCAACAAATTTGTTAAATCCGCAGTGGCCGGGAATCGAACCCAGGTAGCGGTACTTACAGCTGTGAGCCCTTTACTACCAAGCTAGATGCCCTAGTTTGAGATGGGATGATGGATTTGCCAAGTTATTTTTTTTTTTGCTTTCACCTCTGTCAACTCTCACTCTCTTCTCTCACAATCAGCATTAGTTAGTCTTGTCTAAAGAGCATTTAGCATTATGTAAATCCTTGGTGTTTTTTTTTTTGCTTTTAGTTCTTGGTGCGTTTTTGGTTTTGTATGCATGAGTGATGAGTTTGTGATTGTAGCCATTTATGAACAAGGAAAAAAGTCATGAGTTGTCTTCTCTCGTTGGCTCCTACTAGAGTAATAAAAAGAGAGTAGCAATCGTTTTCAACTAAATCTGAAGCGTCGTGTTTCTGAATTAATATGAAAACTAGATTTTGACCCGCGCAACCACGCGGGTGTTTGTTTTCGTTTATAGTTATATAAACATTTTGTTTTCACTTGTAATTGGTATATATTATAGTAATCACATATTTATGATATGTATAGTAAATGTTTTTCAAACATAATAATATTATATAATACGTGTTTTAATCAAATAGATTGTTTCAAATTTTCTATATTATACAACATGACTTTCAAACATGTGTTTGTTTCTTCTTCTATATTTTATTGTTTGTTAGATTAATATTTCATTTTTAGATAAAGTAATATAAATAGAGCTTGATTAAATATTAGTGTAATTTAATTTGCAAAGATAATATAAACTTCGAAGAATTTTTTCTAAAAACTAAACTTATAGCTTCATAAATTAATATTATAAAAAGTTTATTAAAAATGAACTTTTTAAACAATTTCTTTTTTTTTTAAACAATACAATTTTAAAATTTTACATCGAAATAAATGTATCTAATATATATAACGTGTAAATTTTGTTAAGGTATATAAATATTACATATTAATAATCTGTGATTTTTGTTAATATATTCTGGATGCATTTAACTATTATTGACATATTTCCTTATAAATAATAGAAGATTCCTAAATTTATATCTATTGACATATTTTGCGTGACTAAGTTGGAAGGTGTGGGGTAATTTACCAANATATTAATAATCTGTGATTTTTGTTAATATATTCTGGATGCATTTAACTATTATTGACATATTTCCTTATAAATAATAGAAGATTCCTAAATTTATATCTATTGACATATTTTGCGTGACTAAGTTGGAAGGTGTGGGGTAATTTACCAAAACAAAATTGTTAAGCATATTATAAGATAAAATAATGATAATATTATTAAAGAGTTAATGTAACATAACTTTCTAGTAACAGACCATTTTTTAAAAAATCACACATGAAATCAAGTCATGACTTCTGTTTTAATATATAAGATTATCTCCTCTGAGATTCAACTATTTCAGAAGCAAATATGGAGCTTTCACATGAAAATTTTTAGTCATACATACGCTAATAGATGTGTTAGTTTATTTTGGATTCTTACTGATGTATCTTTTTTATATTGTTTTTGACAATTCTCATTGTAAAACTATTTTGACTCATTGTGTAAAACTATTTGACTAAATAGCTTAATAATACAATCCAGCTTTAAAAAAAAATAAAATAAACTGTAACTTAAATGAAAAGAAAACACAAGAAAATGGGGTTTAAGATTGTTAAAAGCCCATTAACACTGGGCCTCAATAACTTACAAACCGACCTCCATTTGATCAATATAAATTAAAACTTAGGTCAAAGTGTGAATCATATTTTATTCGTCCGACACTCTTACCCTACACTCTACACAGCAGACAAAAGACAACAAAAACAAATACGATGTCCACTCCCTTCTTCCCGACCGAAGTCACCACCGACATCTTCTCCAGACTCCCCGCGAAATCCGCCGTCAAGTGTCGCACCCTCTCAAAGCAATGGTCCACCATCCTCACCTCTCCAGACTTCGCCTCACTCTTCCTCACTCACTCCTCAACTCGTCCACGTCTCCTCTTCGCCGTCGAACGAAACGGTCTCTGGACCTTCTTCACCACTCCTCAGCCTCACCCTCACTCTCCTCTCCCTCCTTCCCTAACCGCCGAGTTTCACACGAAGGTCAACGGAGACGTGAGCCGTTACCTCTGCAGCTACGCCTCGGGTTTGATCCTCTTCCCTGACCTCTGGATTCCGAAGGTGAGCAGCTACTCCGACCCTGTGGTGGTCAACCCCGTGACAGGAAAGTACGTGGCTTTACCTTACTTGACCGTGTACAGAAAGTCACGAGCTTTTCTAGGGTTTGATTCTGTCGGAAAAGAGTTTAAGGTTTTGGCGGAAGATCATCCGTTTTGTGGTCTCAGAGATCATCATCAGGTTCTGTCTTTAGGAGGAGATGGAGAGTTGAGTTGGAGGGTGAAGAATGGTCCACAATACGACCATTGTATGTCCGAAGCGATTCAGATCGGTGGTGTTTTGTATTATTTAGCTGAGAACATTAGTGACTTGCCACGTGTCGTTGTTTGCTTTGACGTTAGTTCTGAGGAGTTTGAGGTTATTGAAGCTGATTGTTTCTCTGGTGAGGAGGTTGTGAAGTTGATTAACTACAAGGGGAAAGTCACTGGTGTTAACTGGAAGTATGTTAAAGTTGATGATGGGAAGATTGTTCTTGAACTGTCTGTGTGGGTTCTTGAGGAGGAGAAAGAGTGGGTGAAGTCTGTTTATGTTTTGTCTGAGGAGAAGATTGTTCGTTTTTGTAATTTCTCTGTTGGTGGGATGACTAGTGGAGGTGAGATTGTTTTGGCTATGGATTACACTACGAAGAAGCCTTACTACGTCTTCTTCTTTGATCCGGAGAAGAACACTCTTAGAAGCGTTGAAGTGAAAGGGTTTGGTGATGAGCTTGAAGCGATTGGGACTCGTGGGAGAGTTCGTGTCTTTGTTGACTACGTTGAGGATCTAAACGTTCATGATGGGAAGCAGCTCAAGTCAAGCTTCTCTGCTGAAATGATGAAGCTGGTGAAATGATGTTAATCCAAACTCGCTTAATAACCTTATTATGATAGAATTAGAATCTCTGATGTGATCTGCCGTCTAGCTAAGTCATCTCTAGTGGAAATAATTTTTAATGGACTATGTCTTGTAAGACTTCTATGTTCAAAAAGTTTAATCATGTTATAAGTTTGGTAACTCATTTCAGAGTTTGTGTTATATAATGGTTACCATCTACAGTAATAGGGTCTTATCTATGAAACTATGGTTTTATTTGTCAATGAATATCATCAAATAAGAAATAAAATAATGAAAATTTCAATTAAGAAAAATGGCTCTTTTGAATCAATTTACGTTTCATGAATCAATTTAAGAATAGAAGTGTTATAAAAGGAAATGCTTAACGTTGTCTTCAAGTAACTTGTGACTAGGGCACACCATTTCCTTCATTTTCAATCCATCTTTATATATTTTAAAGGTTGGAACTTTCTTGATGCTCTCTGCTTTCGCCAATGCCAAGCTCTCATCCACATCCACCTATACACAAAAAAAAAACAGTTTAAAAACCCCATCTCTTTATATAAAAAACAACATAAGATTTGAGAATAAGAACATGTAGTAGTCTTACCATGAAGAAATGTACTAATGAATACCGCAAGCACAAGGTGTTGATGAATGGAGATATCGCTTCGCTTTGTCGGTTTGATGATGATTTGAAGTAAAACACAGAGATTCCTGAAGTAAAAAAACTACCATTTGAACAGAGGAACCTAGAAAACCTTATAAGTTCGTAAAATGGGTTACTTACCGGGAAGTGATGTCGCGGTTTTGAACTTATCTAAACTCGAAACCTCTTCAACTTCATTATTAAACCCCAAGTACTTATGTTCTTCAGATTTGTTCAATAAAGCAGTCTTTGCTCTCTCCAAAGACTCAGCAACCTCACTATCTCCTGGAAGTTCCTTTCTCAACACCTCATAATCTCTAACCGCATCATCCCATCGACCAAGCTAGCATTTTAACATAAACAACAAATGTCAAACTCCAAAACACTTCAAAACTCTGTTTTCAAAAGCTTTAAAACCCTAACCTTTCCATAAGAAGCAGCTCTTCGTAGAAGAGCCTTAGTGTAACCAGGCTGGATCCTCAACGCTTGATTACAATCATCAACAGACTGGTCCCACATTCCTAGCTTAAACCAACACGCTGCTCTATTACAATACAGAACCGAGTTGAAAGCATCGAACTTGAGTCCTTCTCCGTAAGCCACACTCGCTTCTGAGTATCTCCCGGAGGTGAAAAGCTCGTTGCCACGTGTACGAGCTTTAGCCACACTGGTTACATTGTTGATAACCGCCACAACCTCAGGGTTGTTGCTGTTGCTATGATCAATCTTTAAAGCTCTCTCTGCCTTTACAATAGCATTCTCAAATCTGCAACAAACCTATCATCTCTACTCACTTACCCAAAGAACCAAAACAATACTTACTAAAGAGTTTAATTAGGAAGCTCACCTTCCTAACGCCATATCAACTTGAGCTTGAACACAGAGCACATAAGCATCACATAACATACCAAAAAGCTTAGCTTGAGTATGATAATGATGATGAAGATGATCTAATCTCTGAATGGTGGATAGACATAAATCTGAATCCTTTATCTGATGAAGCCTCAACAAGGCTTCAGCTTTACAAGCTACAAGCTGCAAAAATCACACTCAAAACCTCACTAACTGCTGAAACAGAACACAAAGAAACAAATCGCATTGATCTGTCTTACCTGAGGAGAAGAATCAGCTCCATTTGCAATGGCTGCATCAACTTCAGTAATCACTTTCTTCCACTCACTGTTCTTTCGAGCCTCACTACACAACCTGAGATGCTTCTCAAGCGTCTGGACCCGCTGCAACTCAGTTTTGTCGGGACATTGCCCGGAGAAACAAAGATGTCGTCTTGCATTCTCAGCTTCTCCTAATCTAAAGACAACACATTCCTTTATTACCGATCTATTACAAGAACTGTAATAACGTTATGACAGTTTTTTTCTTACCTGAGATAGAGAGAAGCGAGTCTCTGGTGAGCTCTAACGTAAGAAGGATCCAATCTCACAGCTTCAAGACACTCTTTAACAGCTTCTCTCAACCTCCCTGACGCAGCCAACGCCGCCGCGCGGTTGCTTCTGTAAGCTGGATTCTCCGGCGACATTGAGATCGCTTTGTCGTAAAGAGCCAACGCCTCAGAGAAGTTCCCTTTCTTATACATATCGTTACCGGCCTTCTTCACCTCCTCCGGATCACGCGTCTCCGGCTGCTTCGCCGAGTGGTTAGCCTTGCCGCCGCCGCGTACTATGTTCCCGTGGCCGTAGTTACCCGTCCCTGTGAAGAGACTCTCCGGTTTAACGGAGGCGCGTGAGGCCATTCCGGTCTTCGGAATCTTTCCCGACGGACATATGTTCCCGGTCGGTACAACGCCGGCGGTCGGCGACGTCGCGCCGCTTCCTCCGCCGCGGTTTTTCGCCGGAGAGAAGGCTAAACCGGAGTATATCAACGGCGTTCCGGCGGATGCGGATCTTCTGTGACCCGGTTTCGGATTCCGGGTCTTGGTTCCGGATCCGGGTGTCTCCGTCAGCTCGCCGGAGTGGCTCCGGTTAGCTAGATGAGAAGTGACGGAAGGTTTGCCGGAGACAGAGCCGGAGGAGCTGGAGCTGCTGCCACTAACCGCCGGAGTCGCAGCGGCGGAGGCGGAGGAGGAGGAGACACGTGGCTTCAACGGAGATTTAGGGGAGCCGAAATCGAGTTCTCGGAAGTCCGGTTTGTTGATGACGTCATCATCGTCTTTGTGTAAGTTTAAAGAATCACGGAATCTACTGGTGATGGAGTCAATGGAAGGTTCTAGTGAATGTCTTCTGTAATGTGACATCTTTTGAGAAACCAAATCTAATGGCTTCAGAAGTAATAAAACACACACAGAATAAGAATGAAGGAGGGGACGAAGAACAGTTCGTGAAGAGAGAGATAGAGAGAGATCTTGCGATATATAGCAAAGAGAAAATGAAAAATAATTAAGCGTTTAAGATTTTATTAATTTAATACAAGGACTAGTTCTGAGATTAAGACATTGATCTTCTTCTTGTGTTCATCAAGAGGCACGAGCCACTCTTGTCCTCATTGACTTCCGTGTCTTTCACGGCTGCTTGTCGTTAAAAAAGGGTAGACTATGTAATTTAATTTTTTTTTTTTTTTNTTTTTTTTTTTTTTAAAAAAAAAAAAAAAAAAAAAAAAAAAAAAATGTAATTTAATTTTTTTTTTAATGTACTATAAGGACTGAGTATAGGTTGACTTTGAAGATTATTTACGTTTGAACAGAATATAGATAAAAATTCTATTTGCCGACCACAAAAGAAAAATCATGATTTTGTTAGCAATAAGATCTTGGAAGCTTTCTGTGGTAATTACGACATCTTTACATGTTTCTGAATGCAAAGTAAAAATATTGTTACTCGAGCAATATTTTTTTTATTATCAAATTATATTTAAGTTGTTAGGTTAAGGACAAATATTAAAAAGTTGCATCAAATCTGCTTCAGCCAACTTACTAATGCACTATGAAACATTGGGACAGTTCTATTAGACACGAGATGGTATTATTAATTTGTATATATAACAACTATATATTCATTTGTTAAGTACCACAACAAAATTAGTAAAATATGTAGTGGAAACGAAATATTCATCCTGAGACAATAGTTATAGTTATAACATTAAATGCGTCCTGTAAAATTTCAAAGTGTAATAGTGCAACCACACCTAAACTATGTTGACCATCCGGTAAGGTTGCAACTAAACTATACAGTGATTTATAAGAATATCAGAAATAAACTATACAACCAACATAAATTATCTGATTTAAAATCTATTATTTTGGTCACTGGTAAATAATATGTCACAATGATCTCGGTTATGATTTATTCAAAATCGAACTAATCATTTATTCTCCAGAAGCCCAATCACGACACTCTCAAAATATTTAAAAATAATTTCAGTGAATTTCGTATCAATGTATCATAACGTATATATTACAATAGAGTATCCGCTCTAACTAGTTCATTTTTTGGTTGGAGTAAGCTAAGGTCGATGTTAATGTTGTTGTGAAACCGAGTGATGTTTTTGGTTCTCGTTTGTTCAATGAACTTCGAGTCTGTCCGAACTAAAATTAGTTAACCAGTATACATTTGACATTCATACATCTTAGGAGATTCATCTTTCATGAAAATGTCATATTTTATATGCGAGTTACTGATAGAAATCTAATACCGTCTGTTTACGTTGTGCATTTGAAAGATTAGTAGATTCGGATTAAACTGTGAATACTATTATTAAACATCTTTTACAACTTCCCATCGTTTTATATGATCATAGTGTTTCTCTTTACGATTCAGTTTTTTTTTTTTTTTCATGTATTGCAACTCTTGCATGTACGATTTCAATACTTAGACCAATACTAAACCCTCTCTTATCAGCAGCTAGAGACAGCAAACTCGAGGTTAAAACGTTGAGAAATGTCGTAGGGAAAGGAATCAAACTCGCTTCAAATATTGTAGAAAGATTTTTGAGACCTCAACTTGATATGAATAAGTAAATGTAAATAAAGTGCTTTTGTGAAATGATACTAACCCATACAATAATTTTCTTGTGAAAAAGCAGCAAGTGAACATTATATTCTTTTTTTTTTTGTTTTTGGATAAAATTATATTCTTTTTTTAATAATGAACATTATATTCTTTATACATTCACGCTAAAAATAAAAAGAAAAAGCACAGAAAACAAAAAACAAAAATTAAGGAAAATAAAGCAAAAGAGATGTGAAGGCTCATTTACTGATGCGTAGCTATTAGCTGGCATTATCTAAAGGCACTCTTCGAAAAGCCTGCTAATTTTTTTTTTCTTTCTAGGAAATAAATAAGAAATATTTATATATTTGTAACTTTAATCAGAATATATTACTACTATTTACGTATGTATATTTATTATTTCGTTATAGGCGTATAGCTGAATAATTTAGAACAAACTAAACAGAAGTATAATGAAATCGCGAATAGGGGCGAAAAGGTAAATAAACAGGACGCTGGCCACGTGCAGAGAGTGACCATGCCAGCTGTTTCTTAACCTCTTTGCTACAGTTGCCAGCTAAGCACGCCGAATACATCAACGCCGTCTAATAAATTTTAAACGGAGTATTCTCCGCTAAACCGGACGGTAATAACCCGAGAGGGGTCCCATATCTCCGCCAAACCAATATGGGCGACAGACATTTCCCCATACCGGACGGTCCGTGACATGAGTGGCTCCAAATTTCGGATCAATCAAACCGGCTCTTCTCAACTTTGACCAGATTTAGCAAGTCTAATAAGTAGAAACATCGAAAGTACATATCTTCACAACGAAAATAAAAAGTAAATTGGTCCCCAAATAAAAATAATCATTGACCGATGGACACCTTTCACATACTAATAATAACGAATATCCAAAACTCATTGATTGATTTTATATTTTTATTCATTGCATCATATATATATATTTGAATATCAAACATTGTTTTTTGGCGCTGGAAGTGTAAAAACTCAAAACTTATGTAACTCCTATCATTTTTTTGAAAATCACTGAATTATAAAAGAGATTATAAGTATATTGCAGTTACCACAAATAGAAAGTGGTCATATGAGATTCTAAAAAGAGCAGAGAATTAATTCTATGTCACCATGTGGCGAATTGTTTCCAGAAAAAGATTAAACAAATGATCAAATAGTAGTATTGATGTTGGCCGCAATTTATGACCCAATCAAAATCGATAAGAGTGGGAATGATGAGTAAAATTGTAATTATGAAGGCGTAGTTAGCTGGTAATTATGGTGCTTTACCTCTTCTTACCATCATACTCGGTGATTAGAATAACAAAAACTTGTATTTAAAGGATACACAGGAAAAATTAGGAGAAAAAACAAGGAAAAAAAGAAGAGAAAATCTACTTTTTCCTCCCATTGGGGAACATACTTTATACATAATTAATTTTATATAAAAGAAAATTAGTAAAAATAATGCTTAATTTCTCAAGGCATGGCCTTTAATAATTGTTGGTGGTGTGCTGGAGGAACAAAGGACCCGCATATATAGGTATTATAAGAATCGAACATGACGTGTGCTCAATTGTTATCCAATCAAAATTCCAAAAACAACGAAATAACAAAAAGATTATACAATTAAAGTAAAAACATACAAGAACTTCGTTAATCATTATGAAAATAGACCAAAACATTTAGAAAATATAGTTTTTTAAAACTGAAAATATAGTTCTCTATATAGACTAAACACACAACTAATCTATGAGAGTAAAAAAAAAAATTTCTATGTGAGTAATTTTTACTGTATAACTTTAAGCATGGTTTATATCTCTAAAAATCTATCAAAAAACTGAAGAACTTTAACACTAGAATAATCACCAGATGACGACGGTTGTATCAAAAATACTCACATAGACTGATTCTTCAGGCTCAATTTATTAATATCGAGCTGGAGATTTTATTTATTGAAGGGTCTACTTGCTTACAGGATTAACTAGACGTCACAACGATCTAGGCACCAAACAGAAAAACATATAGTTCCAGCAATTATTTATGTCAGTATATCAGCTATGTGTTATTCTGGTTTGGTCTAAAGGTATAATGTAATTAATAGAGTAAATAAACACAAATGATTCTTGATATTATATACAACGACAAATAAACCACGTATGGGTATTATCTGTTTAATTAGTTTTCTTTTAATTAACGACAAACAATGCTTAGCTATATGGTCATTAAGGGTATCCAATGTTTCATCATTTCATATTTTAGTTTCATAACGAAATGATGTCAGTGCAACTACAGTAAGTAAGAATATATGTAGATCGCATTACCGTCCAACTCGCTTTTATTTAAACGAAAATGTTGCACGTTTAATCGACACTGCTAGACAAAACTAGTTATCTACGTTATCTGATCTTAACTAATACTACATTTTACTTTATGTGCGCAAAGTTACAAGTATGTGAAGACTAAAGACATGTTTTAGAGTTGTGTTATCACTATACAAAAAAGTTTGTTCAACATCATTTATTTTAAATATTTGCATTAATGATTAACGATGTAAATGAAATTAACTATTTATATGTTTTTTAACTGAAATTATTTTTGATGCAATACATTGTATATATTTGAGTATAGTTATTTATTGGTCCGTTTGTCAAAATACCAATATATGAATAACTAATGTTCATATCCTTTGTGGTATAATTTATACAAGGTAACGTAACCTAATACAATTAGTATTTTGTCAATAAACATTTATCAATAACCGAAATGGGAAAGAGAAATATGCAAGTAGGCTTATGTATAGAATATAATAGATTCAAATTATATAGTTATATTAGTAATTAAAACCATTAATCAAACTAACAATATTATTGCAGTGACCCTTATTGGTTGCCACCTTAGGTTTTATATGCTCTAGCATGTGAGCATATGCTCACAAGCTGTGAATTCTCTCTTTTATGATCATCATCATCAATAAACATCATTAGTTAAGGAGTTTATTCAAATTGTTGTTTTTTGGTTTCTTACAATCATGAACGAGGAAAAAGTTGAAGAGCTTTTCGTATACTATGCACGATATGTGTGCTGTTTATTTAACATTTCACATGCCGGTGTATCGAATTTAAAATATATTTTCTTTGGACAAGTTTGATATATAACTCATAACTCAAGTAAAGTTAGTTTCTGATTATATGCATGTTCTATCCACATTATTCGCTTGTTTACTTCTCCAGGCAGTAGAAAATATATAGTTAAGAAACTAATAAATGAAGTTCGAGAAACTTAAACCTATACAAATATCAAAAACAATCTGAAGAGACATCTTAAGAATGTTTCACCTTGTTGTGTTTTTCTAAATATTATGTATGTCTTGATGAAAATTATTAACATGTATAGCCTATAGACTTACTTGAATATGCTAAAAATGATTAATCTAGACATCAAGGT